CTACTACTACTACTACTACTGTCTCTATTACTAGTAGTATATTACTAATATTAATACCAAGCATGCGAAAAAAGGCCACAGGTGCAAAAAAAATATCGCTACAAACAGGCCCTCCGGCTACTGCCATCAAAACACGAGAAACAAAAACATAGCAAAACATGCACAACTAGAACAACAGCCCAACGACTTCTTTTCCTGCATACAGCTGTGCTTTTCACTCGCGAAGCTCGAGCGGCTTTGTTGGGGTTTGAGAACGGTGCGACGACTGCAAAGACAGGGACGAATGGTCCGGATGCGCCACTGAGGCAGGTCCTCAACCTCAGGGAAGCTTTTCAATGAGTTGAGTGCTGCTGAGTTGAAGCCCTGCGCTGACAGTTTGCGAGCATCACGCCTGCATTTCTTCGGTGGCAGATTCGGACTGGTTTAGGAAGTTTAAGAAGGCAACGGTCGGGTGCACAGAGGGCGCCAGGTGCATGAAAACACAATGGACAAAGAAGGTGCGACGCAACTCCGCAACTCTAACAAATTGGATATTAGTTTTCTTCAAGCCTCGGACTCGTTTCAGACCGGACATGAGAGAACTGTCAGAAGTCCTGAAGCTGCGAGTAGCATGAACTAGCCGTCGTGATAGAAATCAGCGAAGCTACGAATCATGGCTTCAAAGTCCTCTGTGGCGGTTTGAGATCTGCCGAAGATTCTCGGTGGCTCTTGTGTGGAGGTCGACGTGCTGAATGTTGCGGAAACAACTCGGATCTACTATCTGGCGACCTTCCCTGCTTACATTCGCGAACTGCCTGTGGTGTTTGCAACAGTGCTGGCAGCGGTGAGACAATTCCACTGCAATTCAAGTTTTGGGCCTTGACATAATTGACATCTTCTGCGAACCGATGGCTGGTAGTCAATGGCAAACCCCTGCGAAAGGCTTGGACCTGCATTTCCATGGCCAGCTGTGCCTCTGCAGATGTGACCGCCCACCTGTAATGGTAATTCGCTCTCGTGCCGCTGCTTCACAGAGACACGGATAAGCCAATAAGCATCAGGCATGCTTTGTACTTCGTCGGGCCCGAAGGAGCTGATGTATCCCTCGAGCGTCGCAAGAACAATCGTGGCAATGCGGCAATGCCAGCTATGCAGCTTGGTTATGCACTTTCAGGGAGTCGGCGGCACCAGGATCCTCCAGAAAGCGTGCTCACCACCCAAGCATGTCTGGGTTGTCGAAGTTTGGTAGCCAAACAACTGGAAGTATCAAAAGAGCTGCGAAGCCTGCGAGAAAGGATTGGAAGCTTCCTCGCTTGCCTGTGACATTTCACATCCAGAATCCGGCATCGACTGGCACCGTGTCACCGCAGCACGGATCCGCCTCTTCTTCACCCCAGGCGCCAAAAGTCCCCGCCAGCTTCTCAAGTTGATACCTCGGGCAGTTGCAAGCCGGCATTTGACGAAGCATGCGATATTCAGTCGTACCTTTGGTCGACGCGGCGAAGGTAGTAGCCAAACATCGCTGACATTGCATAAACCTCGTGCTCTCTCGAAGACACGGAATGACACGGACGCATGGTGGCTCCAAGGGCTCAACCTGACCAGCTTGAAACAAAGCAATCTGCACAACGCCCATTCCTCCAGCGAAGGAAGGGTTGCCTGGCAAGCTTGAATTCTGTCACCATCCTCCTCTATAGCCCTTTTTATGTGCCACATCGGCCTCCTTGCTGCCCAATGATGCGGAAGAGATGGTCTCGTACAAGCTCCAGTGCATCTGCAGAGTAGATGTCCGTGGTGAGACCCTGCATTCGAGAGCTGAGCACAGGCATGACGACTTGCTCAAAGCCGCCTTGAGATCCACATTTCCGAAGCGCACATCGCCACCCTCTTGCAACTGAGGTATCAAGGGTACCTGTGCGCTGGAATCCTGGAAATTTCGTATCATGAGTCATGAAGCAGCTCCGAGGATGCTGCTTGCAGCTGCTGAAACTTGCGGCACACCTTCCAAATGACAGTACGCAACGACCGACGGTCTCCACACATGGTTGCGCGAACCTTTAAATACAGCAGCTCTGTGACAGCACCTGGGAAATTCTCACGCGTCTGAAGCGGCACGTGTTTTCTGCTGCAAAGGCTTTCAACAGCGTGGACTCCACAGTAGTTTGAAGCACCATAGAACATCGATAGACAGCAGTTTAGTCCGAGGAGCGAATACGTTCGTTCATCTTGACTTCTTCAATCCGCTTTCTCAGCACCAACGTGTCCTAACGCATGAACAGTGCAGTATCAACATGCCACTGCAGCTGACAGCCATGGAGCACCTCTTTGGCATTGCCCTCCAAGTCCTGGGCGACTTGGAAGCGAGACGGGTGGAGCGTCAGCGGTTCCAGCCGGCCTTCTTCTGCTTCTCCTCGTCCTCTTTCTCGACTTGGAGTTTCTGTCGCAGTTGGGCAACCGAAAACAGGTTGCCGGTTTGCCCCGTCGCCTCGAGGTCTTCATCTACAGTCACGTCAAAAAGGACGGGATTCTCCTTCGTTGCTTTTTCAGGGTCCATGCAATCTCCGTTCGCGTTCGTCGCGTTGGCCTTCATCAGGTAGTAGGACTTCTGCGCGAGGCCCGTGTAGATTTCAGCAGGTCCAGCCTGTAAGGAGCTACGATTCACGGAGAGCTGCCATTCCCAGCCGCAAGCTTTTTGTCGCGCGGATCCTTCCACTTCTCCGGAAGATCCGATGCCCGCATCATGGTTCTTCTTGGGGTGAACACCTGCAGCCAACGCATCGTCGTAGCCGTCGACATCTGTTCCGACTTTTACCATTGGACATGTCAGGAATTGAACTAGATGTGGCCTTAGGATGCCAATTTGCGAAGGTCAAGTGTAGGTGCAGGGCGGCCACCTCAGCCACATCCGTGTGCTTGCGGATTCGGGCCCCCCACGGATCTGCACGGGAACGGAAAGTCTGTAAAGCACTTCGGTGCATTGCGAGGGCAGCTCTGGATTTCGATGCGAAGTTACGAAATGACTCTTCGTCATTGGCACGCATCAGGCTAGCCTGAGAATTGCCAAATGCGGAAAGGGCCGAGGTACTGTTTCTTCTGCCGGGAATCTCGAACAAGTTCGCTTAGCAAAGTCTTCCACCGATTCTTCGCATATTTTACAGAGCCGTCTCCATCAACACATGTTCCTCATCGGCAGATAGTTTTCCCCCAGTCGTGCTCGAAGATGCGAATGCTGCTGATCAGGCGCTTGGCGTCCTCATGCGGCTTCGTGCTATTCGTGTTGTGCAGTGACCGTATACATCCGTTCATGTATTTATGCCTCGTCTCGTGTGTTTCACGACATCTTTAAAGCCTTCAGTCTCAGAACAGTCAACATCAGCATCGCTTCAACTCACTGCTTCTGCTCGAGGCTTCAATACCCTCATGAACCACATCATTGTGTCCTCTGGTATGCATGCATTGCAGCTGTAGGCACTGAAAGCTGGCAGGCTGTGTAGCAGCTGTTTCTGAGATGCTTGCAGTGATGGAAGAAGCCGATGCTTGAAACTCCGATGCTGGCTGCTCACTCGTAAGCCCGTGCTTGCAAAAAACATATGTTCGGGTTGGTCCGTTTCCGTGACCTGCGTACCTTTAAACCCAACTCGTCGCACATCTTTGTAAACAATAACCACAACAACCACGAGCACGACGATGACCACAAGCACAACAACAAACACCACCAAAACCACCGGCACCGGCACCGGCACCAGCAGCA